ATTACTGGCTGGGACTTTTGTAGCTGCTTGTACCGAGGCGCTGCAGTATTGATTCTGTGAGAACACACAGGGTGGGGATCCAGCAGGCCATGGTTAGGGCCAAGTGCATATGAGAAAAACCTTCAGGGGAAGCACTACAGGTGGACAGGGGAGAATTGTATCTGATATACATCATCATGATACTTCCTAGGTTTGATTGTTTTATAATGCAAGCTTTCTGAATATGTGTATCTAATATATAAAGACATCCCCTAAAGAGGCCTTATCATGTTTTGGGGGATTTGACTTTCCTCTAGTGTGGTTTTTGTGCATGTAAATCAGGGGTGTCAAACTCAATTTCTTCACGGGCCACATCAGCATTATGGTTGCACTCAAAGGGCCGGTTGTAACTTTAAGACTATATATCAAAATACATATATAAATATTTAATATATATAAAATAAGTATTGCCTCTGCATTGGATTATTATCTGATAGGGTAATAACTTCATAATTAACTGCGTCTGAAAGAAGAAGTCTAGGGCAAGTCTTTGCAAGTCTCTTCACTGAGAATGTTACAAAAATGATTAAAAAAAAATCTAATTCTGAGAAAAAGGCAATTTCTAAGAAAAAATGAATATTTTTAAGAAAATATGTCAAATTTTGAGAAAAAAACTTGTTCTGAGAAAAAAAGTCAAATTCTGTGAATTATTTCGTACATAACGTATGGAAACAAGAGCGAGAATTGTGAGACTTCTTTTTACGCACGACGCTTGTGCTCTTTGTTGAACAACGCTGAACCGGGAAGCTGTAGTTGTGTTACGTACGAGTGATCGATGTTGAAGTGCGGACACCTGTAAATAATTTTCAGGAGACGTCTCGGCTGTGCGATACACGGGTTTGTCTGACTCCTGTTTACTGAAAACTGGAGACTGGTGGACTGTCACACTGAACTCTTTTCGTGATAGTACTGGACGTGAGAGCCCCACCTCGGCTGAACTGAAAATTTTGGACGTGTCACACGTCACACTTACTTTACAGCCGTACGACTAGTCACGATTGACATAGCTAAGATTTGTTATTGGATGTGGTTCGGTACCGAAATAATCTGGATTGTGTAATAGACCTCGCAGGTCGGCCTTTGGGCTCCCTCCAAAGGATTTTTACAACGTGACCAAAAGATTATAACTACTGCAATATTGTCCGATTGTGTCTACGTCTGTAGTCACCGGCGTTCCACTGAGATGGACGTCGGCTCCAATTAAAGAGTCTTACTCGTGATGGTGCTCGTCTCAGCTTGACAGGCTATTACTTTTAAAAAAAACGAAGAAAAGTTGTCCATAATTTCATTGACTGCGCAAACTTTACATCTTTCTTGTATAATGTCGATTCAGGTGAGTTTGAATGTGACGTAATTAATTACGTCTATCTTAAAGTTTAATCTGGTTGTAGAACAAATTGATCGGACCATTCTTCATTTTCGGTACCGTGACAACCATCTAGCCTAATACCCTACATGTAAATTAAATTTAAGTATTATCTTCCGTAAGACTACTGTCAATACAACCTAAAGACATAAGTAAAAAATCGACTAATTATAGATTCGTGACCCTCCGCCATCTTCGTTCATAGTGGTCCTTTAATAAGTGAAACAGTCATAGTACTAAAATCCAACAACAAATTAGGTATTGTAATCCACACAAGGTAATGGTCATTTGTAACCGCGTCAAGTATAATTAAATCTAAAAATTTATCCTAAGAGTTCCTGAAAGTAATTTGTTTATGTGTCTACGAACAGTCTGTAAGTCTCGATAACTTTAATACAATGAATCAAGTGGATTTCTGAACAATCCTAGAATAAAACAACTGTGTCCGGTTCAAGAGTCCTGAAAGACTTCCACCGTGACCCCGGCTATCCTCCAGACGTTGATTAATCTTTGACAAGTGTCGTCGACAACAAAATTCGGGGTGCGCGTAAATCGTAGTCCGCCACAGTTTGAGTTCGGCCGGCCGCGGTGTGCGCGGGCGGCGTGGGGAAGTAGATTACGCGGGAGTTCTCGAATGTTCTTAGTGAGTGCATACAAATAATATGCAATGAGTAGCGGTCAAGATGTCTTCGTCGCAACCGGGTATTGGATGAGTAGGGTGTGTACATAGGGAGTTTGAGAACCTG